TTTATTTAGCTTTCTGATTCTGTGTTTGTGCCTTCAACACTTTCACAATTTTCTGCTCCTCAGTACAAAAGCACGCTCTGTCCTGTAACAGGTCTGGCAGGCCCTGATGACTGCATCTTTGTTTTAGATAATCTCCTAAGGACTTTAGGTCTTACACCATGAACCCTGAAAGTCTGCCTGGGTGCACACCGCATTCAGACTGGGGTGCTTTCCCAGACTTCTTGGTATAAAGGTGAACAGCCCTGTTACCAAGGGTTGGAGACAGCCCTGTTTCGTTAGAGGGCTGTACTGTATGAAAGCCTACGATAGTATGTCAAATGCCTCCAAGCACTGTCCCAGAAGAGAAAAAAGAAACTATTCTTTTTGTTTAATCAGCAGTCACTGTTTATTAACTGATAAGATTATAATAATGCCATAGTAGATATCTTAAACATGAACAGGTTTTACACCTTTGGTTCACAATGTTTTGAAAATGAGAAGCTCTATGTAGCCTTCCCAGGCTGGTCACTGTGTAGACCTGGCTGGCCTCAAACTCACAAAGATGCCCCTGCCTCTGCTCCTAAGTGCTGAGATTAAAGGTTTGTGCCACCTCATCAGGCTGGTCCACAATTTAAAAAATGAAAGAAAAAAGCTGTCTTTTTTGTTTGTTTTTTGAGACAGGATTTTTTTTTTTTTTTTTTTTTTTTTTTTTTTTTTGTGTAGCCCTGGCTGTCCTGGAATTTACTCTGTAAACCATGCTGGCCTCAAACTCAGAGATCCACCTGTCTCTGCCTCCCAAATTCTAGGACCACTTCCCAGCAAAAACAAAACAAACAAACAAAAAAACCCTCTTTTTTTTTTTTTTTTAAAGATTTATTTATTATTTATACAACATTCTGCCTGCATACCAGATCTTACTGTAGATGGTTACAAGCCACCATGTGGTTGCTGGGAACTGAACTCAGGACCTTTGGAAGAACAGTGAACCTCTGAGCCATCACTCCAGCCCCAAAAAACCCTCTTAATATACATACTTTTGCCTTCTAAGATGACACATGGCAAGTGCTTTTGTATGTATGTTCATGAAAAGGTAGGCACTAATACATTTGAGCAAACAGCCACCAAAGACAAGGTGTTCTTCATGTTTTAATCATCCCTGGTCATACATGGGATGCCACTTCTTCCCAGGGAGGAGGTGAGGGTGCTGGCTTCAAGGTGGGCCATGCTGTCAAGTGAGATGATCAGATAACCTTTGTGCCTGCGAAGGGTGTTTCTTGGTATGAGCAATAATAGAAAGAAGATCTCAGATCAAAACAGGGCAAGTCTGAAGGGCTCTGAATTACTTCTTCAGGTCACACACACGCGCACGAACACACTAGCATGTATGCACACAGCTTCCTTCAGCTGCCCAGGACCTTCAGATGAACTCTGGTGAGCAGACAGGCAGGAAAGTTCAGGAACTTGTGGAGCACAGTTTTAAGAAGGTTCACAGTTCAATTCCTCCTTAAGCTCATTTCCTGGGAGTGAAGGGAAGGAATCTTACTAAACAGAAGCTCAGCCAAGGCTCTTCTGTTCTGCCTCTGGCCAGGACCCCTCATAGGTGTCCGTTAGCTCCCAGCATGCTCAACTGTTTGACCCATAACCTTCTTTCTCTTGCCTCAGGGAAGTCTGGCTGCCTGAACTACACCCACAGTGCTTCTCTGACCCTTGCCTCATCATTTCCTTTATGTCCTGGCCCTATTTTTAGGTTAGGGAATCTTTGGTATTGTTGGGGAGGGTTGGTTGCTATGGATTGAATGAGCCCTTCACTTATACGGAAGCCCCAACATGATATGGTCCACGCCTGTACTCAAAGCTACTCAGGAGGCTAAGATAGAAAAATGGCTGAAAACAGAAGTTGAAAGCCAGACAGGGCAACACAGGGAGACCCAACCATAAACAAACAAATCTCATGTTGAAATGCAAACACTATGGCTTTGTTAAGAATGGGACTTTTAAGAGATAATTAGTCTGGGAGGGAATTTGTTCCATTATCACAAGTGTGAGTTGGTCACCAGAGGAAGTTTGGTGTCATCCATATTTCCCATTGCTCTTTCAGACTCTTAGCTTTCTTGAGCAAGAGGCCATTGTCAACACCATCACATTGGACTTCTCAGCCTCCTGAACTGTGAGGCAACAGATTCTGCTCCTTGTCAGCTCCCAGTCTGTGGTGTTCGGTTCTAGTAACTCAGGCAGGATTTGTAAGCTGCTGTGCACTGGGCCAGACTGGTTCACTTTTCCTGAGGAGCAATGAACACACAGTAGCCTCGGGAGTGTGTGTGTGTGTGTGTGTGTGTGTGTGTGTGTGTGTGTGTGACAGAGAGACAGAGATAGAGAAAGACAGACAGACAGACAAGGACAAGGACAGAGACAGGCTCTTGGAAAAGAAAAATACTGGCTCTGAAAAAAAGCAGTAAGTCAAAGATTATCCCAGTGATACAGGAACTTTTGGGGTGTCTTTGAGAGTGTCAGACCCATTTATGGCTCCTGATGAACTAAGCCCAGGAGTTAGGGTGCTGGGTACCCAGTCACAATGAGCCAGTGGCTTTCATGGTCTCACCCCACAAATTTGAAGAATGAAAGTCACAGGCCTCAGAGGCTGAGTCTTAGAAAGAAATCGATTACAGATTCCTAGGTGGGATCTTAAGAGAAAGAGAGAAGGAGAGGCCACAGGAGCACCTCCCTGGGAGTGAGGTGAGACTGCAGGCACTTAGAGTTAGCAAAGCTTTACTTGATGAGCTGCAGTGGGAGCAGGAACTAGTCAGTGTAATTCCCGATTACAAGGCGTTCAGACACCCCTCGGTTTTAGTTACATCCTTACACACAGTTTCCAAGAAAAGGGATGTTCATTTAGGGAGAAGAGCAAGAATCTAGACCCCCACCCGCTCTCTGGCATCACTGGCCTCTGGGCAGAGCAGAGCCAAAGACTTTTTGGCTTAAACACTTTTAGTATCTCTGTCCCCCAAGGGTGGAGCTGTCAAAGGAGGAAAGGACATTTTTGGTGTTTATTCAAGGTGGGGGTGAATCTTTCACTTTTGGGGTCCTCTACCCTGAAATACTTAAACACTATAGCTGCTTTTTGCTTGTTTTTTTTTTTTTTTTTTTTTTTTTTTTAACGTGATTGAGTTTTAAAGATCATAATTGCTGAGTTTTAATTGTCTGGCAGGTCTCGCTCTGTGGGAAGTCTCACCAAGAGAACAGATCACAGGGAAGGTAAATCATCTGAACTCAAAAGACAAAGAACAACGATTCAATACAGACAACAATAAAATATTTTTTTTAAAACATCCGTGAGAATTTCAAGACACAAGTGATATCCTGAAATGGCTAGATTTGCCATAGCGAGATGGCTCAGCTGTTTAAAGCGCTGGCTGCTATTCTAGAGGATTTGGGTTTGATCCCAGCAGCCATATAGCAACTTATAGTCATCTTTAATTCCAGTTATAGGGGATCTAAAGTGCTCTTCCAGCATCCTAGCCACTGCGCACATATGATACATATATATACATTCAAACGAAACGTCCATACTTACAAAATTAAAACAAAAAAAATCAATCTTTAAAAGAGGTAAAAGGCTAGATTCATGGGTTATTGGCCCAATAGAAGAAGACTTTAATTTTAGCGAAGACAGCGTATTCAAAGTAACAAGCGAGGTGCACCAAGTTACCCATAAAAACAGGCCCATCAGAATGACGACATAGATTTGTCGCCTGGATGTTTAAGAGCCAGGAGGGCTTGGAAAGATCTACTTCACGTTCTGAAAGAAACAACTGCCAACTCATACTGCTATACTCACCAAAGCAACTTCTCATAACTGAAGGAAAAAGTAAACTTTCAACAAAGACTAAGAATTTATGGCCGTGAAGTCAGCTCTGCAGAAGATAACTGAAAGAACTTCTCAGACTGAAGAAAAACACAAACCTAACCACAAGCCACAGGAAAGAACAGACCACACTAGAATAGTGAAGAAAGAGAGGAAGGCAAGAGAGCATAAGAGACACTACAAAATCAAGTGACATGAATAAATACACATCTTTCAACAGTAACACTGAATGTTAATGGCCTCAATTTCTCAGTCAAAAGTCAAAGACCAGTAGTTTGGATCAGAAATCAGGGATGAACATAAACCATGTATTTTTTTGCCTCAAAGAAACACACCTTACCACAAGAAAGTTCTGACCTTAGGCCACAAGGGTGGGGAAATAAACCTAAGCAAACAGAATTAGGCAAAAAAGCAGGGGTCTGTTTTAATATCTAATAAAATAGACTCCAATCCAAAACTAGTGACAAAAGACAGAGAAGGGCACTTCATGCTGATGAAGAGAATACATCAGGAGAACATTGTGGTTTTCAGTATATACACCCTAAACATCCAATTTCATAAACTAGTACTAGAGGTAAAGTCATAGATTCACCCTAGCACAGTTGCAGTGAGTGACTTCAGTACCCCAGTCTCACCAACTATCAGGTCATTCTGAAAAGAAAAAAACTAGAAATATCTGACATCATAGATTTAAAAAAAAAATGACATCATGGATCAAATGAACTTACCAAATATCTATAGATCATACTACTCATAGACTGCTCGTTTTTATCAGCATTCTATTGCATATTCTCTCAAATATATATTAGGAGACAAAGCAAATCTAAATAAATATAGGAAAACTGAAAAAACTCCTTGTATTCGATCTGATCACAATGGATTAAGACTACAAATCAGCAGCAAGAGAGAGCCTGGGCCACGCTACACACCACTGACTGGGAAATTGGTCCTTGAACAAATAAAAAAAGTATTCCTAGAAAATGAAAACAATACACCAACCTTTGAGACACAAATACAGTTGTGCCTCCTCCTACATTAAGAAATCAGAGAGGAAAAGCCGGGCAAGGAGGCGCACGCCTGTAATCCCAGCACTCGGGAAGGAAGAAGCAGGTGGATCTCTGTGTGTTCGGGGCCAGCCTGCTCTGACCAAAGCGAGTCCAGGACAGCTAAGGCTACACAGAGAAATCTGGTCTTGGGGGAAAAAGAAATCAGAAATCAGAAATCAGAGAGGTCTCAGATAAATAATGATACTCTTTATGACCCCACAAAGAGAGCAGACCAAGCCTTAAGTCAGTAAATGGAAAGAGAACATTAACCACCCAGTCCTATCCCACACTGTGTCTTGAGCTGTGTGGGGAGGGGCTAGATAGTAGTTTAATTAAGAAGTGTTTCCCCACAGGCTCAGATATTTGAACACTTGGTCTCTAGTTGGCGGTGCTGTTTGAAGAGGAATGGAACCTATGGGGGGTGGAGCCCTCCCGGAGGAAATGCATCCCTAGGGTTGAGTTTTGAGAGTGTATAACCCCACTCTTAGAGTTCACACTCTGAATCTTTTGTGCAATTGAAAGTGATCTCTTGGCTTCCTGCTCAGCTGCCATGCTGCCCCCTGGCTGCACCCTCCCTACCATGACGGACCCTTATCTCTTTGGAACAATGAGCCAAAATAAACTCTTCCACAAGCTATTTTTTTTGGTCATGTTATTTTATCACAACAAAAAGTAACTGTTACAGGGTGTAATATAAATACCCCACTTACGGCTGAGCGCCCATAGTCACTTGTTCCCTGCATTTGACCAGTCGTGAGTCATCCACCATCCACTGCCCAAAGACCCTTTTCTACAGTTAAGAATAAGAGCTTCAGGCTGCAGAGATGGCTCAGAGGTTAAGAGCATTGTCTGCTCTTCCAGAGGTCCTGAGTTCAATTCTCAGCCACCACATGGAGGCTCGCAGCCATCTCTAATGAGATTGGATGCCCTCTTCTGGCGTGCAGGTGTACATGCAGATAGAACATTCATGGACATAAAAATAAATATTAAATTTTTTTTACATGAGAGCTTCACTAACCTATTGTAAGAGATAATGCATAACAAAGGCAGTTTGATGCTGTGCCAATTTAGCAAAATAATAGTAGTAGGTTTACTCCCAGGGCTTATGAGATCCCAGTCGTGGGTTCTTGGGTAGATTTACAGTACCAGCCATGTGTTTCTTCCTGTAGATTTAGCCTGAAACCCAATCAGAAAGCAGTTGCTAAACCCCGTTAGCATGGCACTATAGCATCCATGGGTGTACCTTGGCAGGCCGATTATTGGTGCAGCTTGTAGGGTTCACATGTAGACAATTCTGTCGGTGACTTTTCCGAAAACTCCATCGGCAGAGCACTTTCTGGTTCTATGAAAGCTAGCCAATAGGGAGGACGCTTCCATATCTGCTACAGCTTGATTTCTCTTAGCTCTGTGACAAAGGACACAGTGTCTTCAGCAGGAGGGTGCTACTATCAAGTTCTGGTGGGCAACAAAGAGCAAGGGCAATAGCCGTGTCATTCGGGAGGTCTCTGCCCACCTCCCTCTGACCAACAGCTTGAGGTGAGATCTACTACGCCTTTCATTTGGCAAGCTATGGCTTCTGGGAGGAACGTTATTCCCTTCGTAGGGTAACTCCATTTGAATGAGACTCACACACACGCTAAAATTGTAGATCCCAGACGGATTTCTCAGATACCCTTAGTGTTAATTATCCTTCCCCACCTCTTTCTGACTCCCATCCCCTCCCTACTTAAACCTCACCCCCATTATTCTTCTGTCCCCCTTCATACTGCCTGTCTGACTGTCCCCTGCCTACCCCCAAGCTCTGCCTGCTCCATAGCTCCTTCAGGTTTCCTGGCTTCTATAGAGACCCAACTTACACACAGCAATGTGGAACATTTGTGTCCCATTAAGATCCACAAGGAGAGAGCAGTGCAGTGGGGTCTCGTTTGCAGCCTTTGCTTAGTCTGTTTTCAGCCTTCTTTTAAAATCTCATCAATTTTATTTAATTGTTGATTTCCAAAGTTATCCGTTTATTATGGCCGTGGGGGTGGGGCAACCATGGCCACAGTGGAGGTCGGGCGACAACAGCGGAAAACAAACTCAGGCCTCCAGACTGGTGTGGCAAGTACTTTTACCTGCCGGCCCCCTGTTTTGTTTTGTTTTGTTGTGGGATTTTTGTTTGTTTTGTTTTTGTGTTTTGGAGATAGGTTCTGACTCTGCAGCTAAGGATGACCCCAAACTCACTACACATCACAGGCTGGCCTCAGACTCACAGGAATTGTCCTGCCTCCTGTCGTCTATGCTGGGATTACAGACAAGAGGCGCTGTGCCCAGTTTCTTCATCCTTTCAACTGTTGGCCAGGAGCTTCAAAGACGTCTTACGCCAATTTAAGAAGTCAGGCGGCAGCAGGGAGTCTGAAGATGCCGGCTGCTTGACCGTTGGTTTCTCCTGTAGCCCCTCTGGGGAATTTAGGCAAAGGTCTGCTCTGGAACCACAGCTGTGGGATCTGGGAATCTGACTCAGGTGCCTTGCGTTGGTTGGAGCGGAGGCCGGAATAGAGCAAGAAACAGGATAAACATTTTACTCAGTGCTGTTGGGGTGCATGGCAGGCTGCCGTCTAAAGAAAAAAGAAAAAAACTCCAACCTGGGGGTTGGTATAGCGGTCCCTATGAGCCAGCATTCCAGCGGTGCAGCCTACCTGAGCATTTGTGATCTGGAGGGAGCAAGATGGTGGAAAATGAGGTCTCAGGAAATCTGCCAGTCAGTCACACACCTACCTGGCAAAGGCTGAAGGAAACAGCTACTTAAACAAACAAACAAAAACAAATAACTCGATTTTTAAAATAAGAAACTGCTCTAAAATGACCCAATCTAATATAAAACAGCACGCCAAAACATAAATACCAAACCTTAAAAGTAAAACGTACACATCCTAGGGGCTAGGGGCGTAGCTCGATGTTGGAGTACTCACTGGCCCTTCCTAGCCTTCCCTCACCGGGGCTGTCTGTGTTCCCGCTCTGCAGAGACCTCTTCCACACCCAGAGACGCAGGAACAAGCATTCGGCTCAGAATCTAAAGAGCCCGCGGCCTCCTCTCTGCCCTTCACGTCACCAACCCAGTGTCCAGCCTGTCCGGGACTCGCTGCTTCGTCTGGGTAGGATTTGCCCCACACCGTTAGCACAGGCAGCCCTCGCGCCCCCTGGGGGCGGGCATCGGGGTGACACAGAGTCAGGACACCCTGCCCGTCACCCCACCCTACGAGTGGCGCTTCCCCTCCACCTGGAGGGCCCCCTTCCGGGCCTGGGGACCCCCGCCTCACCTCTCCACACGCCAGAGAGGCGCGTTCCGTCCCTCCCGCCCCACACAGCCCAGCACCCCCGCGGCTCTCTCTGGAGTACCTGCAGCTGTCACCTTAGGTCACAGCGAACGCGGAAGCCGAGCGACAGCGCCGCCTCCGTGGACGGTGACTGTTGGTCGGGAGCGCGCCATTTCCCGTTTCCGCCTTCTCCCTGCTGGCCCTGGGAGCAGAGCCCTCTCACCCCCGAGCAAGTGCGTGAGCGAGGCCGAGGCCAGGTTAACGGCACCCTTCCTGTTGCTCGAGGCGGGCTGTCATTTGGGTGTGTCAGGGAGGAAAAGCAGGTTCTGTCGTTGCCAAGTTCAAGGGCTTCCCAGGCGGTGCACCACTCACTGTCCACCTCGCACGGCAATACCATCAGAACCTCCTTGTCTGGGCAGTGACATTTGATTAGACTGACACTTAGCAGTGAGCCTGAGCACCCAGGGTTCTTGCTCCAAGTCCTTGCGGGTTCGCAGGAAGTTCACAGAGGCGCCAGCCTTCCTCCAACTTCAGTAAGCGGCCAGGCCCCGAGCTAGCAGTTCCCAAGTCCGTGTCATTTCCTTCCTTCCTTCCTTCCTTCCTTCCTTCCTTCCTTCCTTCCTTCCTTCCTTCCTTCCTTCCTTCCTTCCTTTCTCTCTCTCTCTTCTTTCTTTCTTTCTTTCTTTCTTTCTTTCTTTCTTTCTTTCTTTCTTTCTTTCTTTCTTTCTTTCTTTCTTTCTTTCTTTCTTTCTTTCTCTCCCTCTCTCTTTTTCTTTCTCTCTTAATTTTTTCCCTTTTTTCCTTCTTCCCATTTTACAAGTGAGAACGCTGAAGCTCAGAAGGGGAAGTCACTCAGTGAGAATAAACGACGAGAGCTGAAGTTCGGGGCCGTTCGTGCTAGGAAAAGGAGTCTTTCCACACCTGCCCAGTGCCCAGAGAGAGGCGGTTTTAAGATCAAACCCGTGGTCAGTCCCTTCATGAAACGGGCCTAGGAGCCCTAGGGAGTGTCCTCTAGGTGGCGGCAGAGAACCGGCCAGTGGCCCGGGAGGTCCGTGGGCGCGGGTTCTAACCTGGGACAAAAGCAGGGCTGGCAGTCCTGAGGTGGGGCTCCGGGCAGCTTCACGGGAACAGCTCCGACGTGGCTCAGGACGTCCCGTGTGCGCATTCCCGGGCGCCACCTCATTAAACTCTCAAGAGCAACCTGTGCAGCAGATGCCCTTAGCCTCACGTGGTTCAGATCAAGAGACGAAGAGCAGGCAATTTGGATTGCAGCCCCGGCTGTTCCCTTGGGGGAAGAAAAGGCAGTCTCTTGGAAACGGCAAGGCTAGGTGAGGTCAATCCAAGGACGGTGATTGAGACCAAATCCGAGAGGAAATCAGGAAGAACTTCCTGGAGGTTGTGTGAGGCCGGGACATGGGATGTGGTAGGTTTTTTCCCCCCAGTCTGAGCACCCACACAGCTCATTCTGGTAGTGCAACTCCAAAGAACAGGCTGCCTCGGAGGCTGCAAAGCACTAAAAGAGCCAAACACACACCGTTAGAGGACCTGGTGATGACTGCTTCCTTTGGGTTTCACAACACTGATGAGCACACACCTGGCAGGTTGCAGCGCCATCAGCATGTCCCTCTGTCCACAGAGCTCCGCTGTGGGAAGGGTTGATGACAGCTTCCCAGAATGTCCCCACCATGGAAGAATGCCAGGTTACACTCGGATTCTCTGAATCACAGTCTCTGGATCCGAGTGTGACCTCGGATCCAAGACAGCAAGCAGGGCCTCCTTCCTCTGGGATCTCACCCTAGTCATCCAGGCACCTGGGTGCAAACGCTGGGCTTCTTAGCGGAGAACCGCAGCTCTTTTTGCAGGTGGGCAATCGCCACTGATTGGATTTTCTGGGAATTGCCGGACAAGTTCCTGCCTCCCAACGTGAAGGGGCTGGAGGCCCGCATCCTTCCCAACTTCTTTACAAAATCTCCTCATCCAAACTGGTCGGGGTGCAATGAGCCTTCCGTTCCAGCCCTTGGCAGAGACACAGAGGGATCGGAGTTCATCCGATTCTTGGTGAATTCAGGGTCATATCTTAGGCTACATGACACCCTATCTCGGAAATAAAAAGGGGTAGGGGGAGCTGGAGAGACAGCAGCTCCCAGCACCCACATGATGGCTCACAAACACCTCTAACTCCAGTGCCAGGGGATACAACACCCTCTGCTGGCCCCTCTTGGGCACCGGGCACACCTCTGGTTCACCCACATTCACTCAGACAAAACATCCAAACTGGCTGAGCTGGCTAGTCTTCTGTCAACTTGACATGATGCACTCCGGAGTTACCTGAGAAACGCCTCCGGAAGAGCGGCTGGTAAGGCATTCTCTTAGTGACTGAGGAGAGAGGGCACAGCCCACCGCATGGGGTAGTGCCATCCTTGGGCAGGTGGGTTCTGTGAGAAAGCAGGCAGAGCAAGCCAGTACACGGCACTCCTTCATGGCCTCTGCGCCAGCGGCTGGCTCCAGGTTCCTGCCCTGCCCGAGTTCCTCTGGTGAGGAACAGCAGTGTGGAAATGTAAACCAAATAAACCCTTTCCTCTCCAAGTTGCTTTTTGGTTTTAGAAGTTTTTTTTTTGTTTGTTTTGTTTTTCAGCAATAGAAACCCTAACTAAGACACTCTATTTAAAAAACTAAGACACATTATTTAAAAAAAATTTAAATAAATTACTTTTTTTTCAGTTTTCAATTTTAATGTAACATTTTTATTTTAGTATAACAGTATGTCTAAATTCTTTGAAAATTTCAGTCACGAATACAATGTATTTCTATCTTATTCACCTCCTATTCCTCTATTCCTCCTGGATCCCTCCACTTCTCTTTCCCAACTTTATGTCCCTTTTATCCCATTTTCAAAAATTGAAAACAGGTTCTTTTCTCATACAATATATCTTGATTATAGTTTCCCCTCCATCTGCTCCTCCCAGTTTCTCCCCATCTCCTCTCCCCTCCAGATCTTGTCTCTCATTAGAGAAGAAAGGCTTCTAAGATATAACAACCAAACATGACCAAATAACATATAAAAAAGATAAAGCAAAACCCATCATATCGAAGTTGGACAAAGCCACTCCACAGAAGGAAAAGAACCCTAAGAGCAGGCATAAGAATCAGAGACCTAAGCTGGGCCTGCGAGTGCACGCCTTTAATCCCGGCACTCAGGGAGGCAGAGGCCAGTGGATTGTTGTGAGTTCGAGGGTAGCCAGCTCTACAAAGTGAATCCAGGCCAGCCAGGGCTACACAGAGAAAAGCTGTCTCAAACAACAATCGCAAAGAATCAGAGAGCTGCTTGTTCTCACACTCAGTAGTCCCATAAAGACACTAAGCTAAAAGCTGTAATACCCAGAGCACCAGGACCAGACCTGTGTTGGCCCTGTGCTTACTCTATCAGTCTCTGCAAGTTCATCTGTGCCTTACTTAGTTGGTTCAGAGGGCCTTGTTCTGGTGTCCTCCGGCCCCTCTGGCCCTTCTGCTTATTTCTGCCTCCTTTTCCTTGGGGGCACCCTGAGATTCTAGGGGAGGGATTTGATGGAGACCCCCCCCCCATTCAGACTTTCTCTCCACATAATGCCTGGCTGTGGGTCTCTGTGTCTGTTTCCATCTGCCCCCAGAGGAAGCTCCTCCTCCGACTGAATAAGGCACTGATCTATGAATGTAGCAGATATGTCTCTAGGAGTAATTTTAGTGAATTTTTTTTTCAGACTGGTAGTGTTTGGTTTTACCTTAGGTCTCTGGCTTAGGTAGTCTCTGGTTCTTGCTCACCCAAGCAGTGCTGGGTATAGGTTTTGTCTTGTGGAGTCAAATCGTTGGTTGGCTCCTCCCACAAGTTCTGTGCCACTGTTGCTCTAGCACAGCTTGCAGGCAGGACAGATTGTAGGTCTTTAAAAAAATCTCCTGACCCAGCCCCAAGCCTAGCTCATGCCCTAGTTCTGTCTCAGTGACTTTGCACTGGTTTTTCTGCCTGAGATGTTTTCCTCCTATTTAAACAAAACAAGACAGCCAAACAAAACAAACAAACAAACAAACAAACAAAAAAACAGGGAGTGAACACAAGGACTCACAAGTGCTCTGCCACAGAGCCACACCCTAACACCTCTTTACCGTATTTTCTTCAAACTGTTGTTTTTTAAAGATTTATTTATTTATTATTTATACAGGGCACCAGATCTCATTATAGATGGTTGTGAGCCACCATTTGGTTGCTGGAGATTGAACTCAGGACCTTTGGAAGAACAGCCAGTGCTCTTTAAATCTGAGTCATCTCTCCAGCCCTCTTTATCATATTTTCCTAGCCTTCTCCATTCTACCACTTAGTTCTGTCTGTTCTCTGGAAAAAGGCTTCCCTCCCCTCGTACCTAGGACCTTCTTTCTGCTTTGTGTGTCCCTTGCTCATTCTAACCAGAGTCACTAAGTCTCCAGGAGACCATCACCCTCACACACAGCAAGCTCTTGTTCGTAGCCCAGCCTGGAAACCAGAGTCCCAGGCTCTGAGAGAATATGCTCTCAGACATAACCGAGAAGGGATCTTCGTGGTCAGTTCACCCAGCTTCTAGCTGACCCTCGTACTCCTTACACTGGGGAGGATTTGTCTGTCTGTGGAGTCAGTTAGCAAAGGAGACTATGTCCCATGGCGACACATTTGATTTTGATGTTAAACAGAATTACCCCCGGTTTAGGGAGAGTCCAAGTAGGCCCACCTTTAAAGGGAAAGTTCCATCTGTCTCTTGCAAGTGCATGGAAACCCGCTGTCCTCAGTGGACAGTTAGCCTCAGGGCCACCTCAAACAACGAAGACATGGACTGTAGGACTTGATTTCTGCATCTCAGTCTACAGACTCTTAGAATCTTTGAGGTGGAACTGAGGCACCTGGCTAAACTTGGACTTCAGACAATCTCCACATTTGGAAGGGGACGCTGGCCGCGAATTTAGATTTTCTTGCCTCAGCTTCCCAAGTGCTAGTAGTCATGAGCCACCATGCCCTGCTCGCAAAATGTAACTGTTTAGTGTAACTTTTGTTGTTGTTGTTGTTTTTCGAGACAGGGTTTCTCTGTGTAGCCTTGGTTGTCCGTAAACCAGGCTGGCCGTGAACTGACAAGAGACCCACCTGCCTCTGCTCCCCGAAAGCTGGGATTACAGGCGTGTGCCACTGCACCGGCTTTTTTTAGTGTAACTTCATCCCAACAACATATGAGACATTTAAATAAATTTTTGAGACACGTTTTAAAAACAACATTTTATTAAAATTTTTGAGGCTTTCCTACAATGTGTTTTAATCATGTTTCTTCTCCACCTCCTCCTAGACCCTCCTCTCCACTCCTACCTCCCCAACCAGCCAACTTTAAGTTCTCCTCCTCCCCTCCCCCTCTTTCTTCTTCACGCACGGAGTAGGCATGGCAACATCCAACCACTCATGGCAGTGGGATAGGCCCTGGAGGGTGGCTGACGCTCCAGGGTCGCATCAGTAAAGAAGACCCCCCTCTTTCCCAGCAGCTGTCAGGGATAGTCTTTGTCTCCTTGATCTGGAGTCCATAGGTCTTATGCCTGCTCTCACAACTGCCAGGAGGTTATGTGTGCAACTGCCCTGTTGTGTCTGGAAAGCTCTCTCTCCCTGAAGTCACCCACTCCTTCTCAAGATTCCAGTCTCCTCTTCCAGAAAGATCCCAGAGCCTGGCAGGGAGAGGTGTGACATGCAAGCCCCATCCAGAGCCGAGCACTCCACAGCTGGGGCACTTTTACAGTAAAAATATTACAAATAGGTACACGACAAACAGACTTGTTCATCTGAAATGCAAGTTTAACTGGGTGCCTGGTAGTTTGCCTGGCAACTTCAGAAACAATGGCTTCCCTGGGGGCACAGTGCTGGGATGTGGGAAACATGGCCCACCGAGAGCTGTGGGGTTTTTTTTTTTTTTTGTCTCTTGTTTCTTCTGAAGGGTAGAATGAGTTGGTTTCTTTCATGCCAAATAAGCAGTCACAGACAACCCATTATGAACCCAAACTCATGACTATCATGAGACTCAAGATCAAGAACAAAAAAAAAAAAAATTGTTTTTAATTAATAGAGAAGCCGTCTCCACACACACACAGCCAGGCCGTCAGCAGGCAGAAGACCAAGAGTCTCCTCCAGGAAGGTAAGAGCGCTGGCTTCTTAGCAACCGAATAGGGCTTGGTGGGCTCCTCTGTCCCCGATGTCAGCAGTTTCTTCCTGTGTCTGTAGCTGGCTCACTTCTGGACTTTGCAGTCTCTCCTGTTCCCTCCCATTCCACCAAGGTTGCCATGGATAGGAATGACAGGAGCCTCTCTGCACTAGGTTTAGTCTGTCACCCAATGGGACAACTGTTGTCTGGCGTGGGGTGAGGTGCATGGGTCCCGTCTGCTGAGGCTCTGAGCTTGAGGTAGATGCGCACATAAGCAGCTAATGCAGAATCAACTAGGCCTCTTATCTGTCAACACAGGATTCACCCTACACTCCCCGCCAGGGAGGATCCCAGAGTTCAACTCTAATTGCCTTTTCATACCTGGGAAGGGCAAACTATAGGCAAAAATGCCCCCAGTGGAAAGCAGTCACATGGTAAAAAAGAAAATTCCGATTCTCCTCCTCTCCCATCCTCCCTGTTCTTCAAATTGGAGCTAATTAATGTAATTTCATGGGAATGGACCTTTAAAATTTACAAAAACAGTAAAATAAAAAAAAAGAAAGAAGGAAAACCTAACACACACACACACACACACACACACACACACAAAATGCCTACCACCACCACAATAGCAAGAAGGGAAGCTTCCATTATTGCTCTTCAATGAGCTCACTCTATTTCTAAATACTGCAGTCCATGAGATTTTTTTGTTATTATTAATTTATGCAAATTTTAGTTTCTTGTGTTTTATTGGGTTGGGTGTGGTGGCACATGCCTTTAATTCCTGCACAGAGATCTCTATGAGTTCAAGGCTAGTTTAGCCTGCATATTGCATTCTAAGACAGCCTGGGCAGGGCAGTGAAACTCTGTCTTAAAAAAAAAAATTATAAATTCCTAGCCATGAGACCTGGATAGACAGAAATCGAACTGGGTGGGAGGGAAGACAATTTACTAGATAAACCATGGTCCTGGCATCCTCAGTTGGTCTTGGGCAATGTGTACCTGGCCAATAATACTGAGTTCCCTTGTTGAAAGGTGGGCTTGGAAGATGTGCCCTGTCACCACGTGTTCCCTGGCCAGGCTCAGCCTGGGGTGCACCGGGAAATGCCCCTCATTGACCACCATAACCTTCTGCTTGGCCAGAGGTTGATGACGGTGGTGATTCCAGAGAAAAATAAGATATCTTCTTTCGCTTCTCTGTATTGTCGTTTTGTTTTTTGTTTTCCAAGACAGGGTTTCTCTGTGTAGCCTGGCTATCCTGGAGATAGCTCTGTAGACCAGGCTGGCCTTGAACTCACAGAGATCCACCTGCTTCCGCCTCCTGAGTGCTGGGACTAAAGGTGTGTGCCACTACTGCCCAGCTTCTTTTGGTTTTGTTTTTTACATTTATTATTATACAGTGTGTACGTGTGTGTGTGTGCGTGTATATATGGTGTGTGTGTGTGTGGTGTGGGAATGTGTAAGTACGGTGTGTGAATGTATGTATGTGTGTATATGTGTGTGCGTGCACATGTGTGTTATGTGCGTGATGTGCGTGTTTGCATGGTATATGTGTACATGTCAGTACCCATGTGCATGTGTCACTGTGCACATGCGGGGCTCAAAAGACAATGCTGTGGAGTCGGTGCCCCTCCCACCTTCACCCAGGGTTCTGGGGGTCGAAGGCAGCTGGCCAGACTTGTGCAGCAAACATCTTACACACTGACTCATGCCTCCGGCCCACCTCTTCTCTACTGCCTGCTGCCCTAGGCCAGCAGAGCCACAAAAAGAAAGAATAGAAACCTCTGTTATTATAGTCAGACTAAAGGCCGGGGAAGATGCCCTCCCCCTGGGCTAACCCAGTTTTAAAGGCTTTGTTTCAGATGTAGTTTCCTCTTAGAACGAGCCTAAGCTAGTTCTAAAGCTCTCAGAATTAGCGAAGGATGTCTGAGTCCCCGCAGGGAGGACCTAGGGATGTGCTAGCTGACAGCCATCCTGGGGACAGTCTCTGTGCCCATGTGCCTTTCTTTTAGGTGTCCTGTGTTCCGAGTCCGCACAATGCCACGAGAAGCCTCTCACTTCAATAACCCCAGGAAGGGGCACAGCCACGACTACGTCACAGCTGAAGAGTAAGTTACAAAGCAGACCTTTTGGGGGTCCCAGTTTGCCATTTGAAGACACAGCCTGCTGACTTCTACCCCCACATCCCCCATCTGCAAATTTCTCTAGTGTTTCCTCTCCCCAGAGGATAAAGCCACTGGAGGCCCTGCAACAGTCTCACCCACAGACAGTCAAGAAGATAGAAGCGAGAGAAGTTAGCTATTGCTATTTTTGTCTGCATTCTTGGGCCTTTGCTGTTGGTTCCCAAGTTGGGAACTATCTGTCCAGAACCCAGACAACTCCTTCCTCAAACCTGTTCCAACAGCTCCTCTCAGGACTCCTGCAGGTACTTTGTAGACAGAAGAGAGTTAAGTTGTTAAAGTGCCAGTGTGGGTGAGGGACACATGTGTGGGTTTCAGCCTGCGTGGACACTCCAGGCTGAAGCTGGGGGCCATGACTTTTGTCCCATAATACCATTCTACAGAAGGGGTCTGGGTTTCCAGGTTAATTAGTAATAAGTGTTTATGTGATTATTACTTCCAAGAACTAAGCTCATAGTTCGGAGACACTGCTCTCTATCTCTGAAAAGGTCCAGAGTCCGGTGGGAGAGCAAGGCAGGGAGTAACTCTGGAACATGGAGGTACCCTTAGGGAAATAGGACAAACTACGTGTGCTAGGGAGAGAGTGGTGGGTAGGAGGCAAACCTGAGCAAGGACCCCAGACGGGCTTTGACTTTATTTTCATGGTTACTTCCTGGCTGTACTTTTGCTACTGTTGTTCTGCACCATAATGTAAACATCTGACATGCAGGGTATCTGATATGTGTGTGACCCCCTGCGCAAAGGTCCTTCAACCTGCAAAGGGGTCACGACCCACGGTTTGGACCGTCTTTATGCTGTGTGCTCAGACCCCTTGCAGATCTGCTTCCCTTGCAGAAAATCTTCCGCAGGTTACACAGAGTCAGCCAGCAGACAAGGTAGAGGCTCCATCAGTGGGATCTGGCTGGCAGCATTTCCAGGGGCCTTCCCATACCACAGTATAGACAGTTGGGGGGTGGGAAGTGACGTATTCTAGCAAATTGTCTCAACCACATACTATTTAGGTGGGAGATACTTTGCATATGGTATTGTTTGGGCATCTTTAGGATGACTCCACGGACTCTTCGTGAACTAGAATTTTATATATCTCTCATTTAGTAGCCCAGGAGTCCTGGCCTGTCAGTTCTCTTCTCTCTTGTTGTCACTTCCTGGGCACTGCCTCTGAGTGAAGACGGTAGGCTATCATCTTCGTGTTTCTGCAACAGAGAGGGAGCCCAAGGGAAGTTTGGAGGCGCTGTTTTCGCCTGGCCTTCACCCCCCCTCTCTATGCCCCATGTCGTGACCCCAATATCTGCCTGCTGTGCTGTATGTGGGAACAGGCTTGGGGAAACTGGGAGATGTGCAGCGGGGCGCACATGTTGGGATTTGAGGACAGTGTGTTTGCTTATGAAGCACTGCGCTGGTGGGCTCAAGGAAGGCAAATGTTTGCACAGACGGTTTGGGAGTGAGTCATTGCCGAGCTGGAGGCTGGAGGCAGGGTGTTGCCAGCTCAGGAGGCTGACGGCTGAGTCACGTGGTGGATCGTCGGCATCCTCAGCTGGTGAAGCTGGTAGCGAGCTGGGCGGGCCATGGAGAGCGCTGTGGGGTGATGCTGACAGAGCAGGAAGCAAACTGGCACAGGGTCTCCTCTTGGACGCTCCGCAGGGGCACACGGGCAAAGCAGCAACAGGGTTTGCAGAGGCCAGCGCCAGGGTCCAGAGCAGGGCATAGCAAGGCGGGTTTGGAGTTTGGGGGACAACAGCTTACAAGGGGCACCTGTGACTCAGTAGCATCATCTACACCATGGCCGGGGTTCCAGCACAAAAAAAACACCCACTCGGTCTACATGTGCATGCCATCATCTGCACTGACATCACCCAAGGCCCCAGCCATGGAGTACCCGAAACATCCAGTATGTGATTTTAAGCAGGGTAGTGAAGAACACAAAAACAATGGATGCACAAGGCCACCGATATCGGGACTTGTCCTGAAAGGTCCTTGATCATCTGGCCGCCTTGTTTAGAATGGAGGGTCTGAGGTAAGGGAGGGCAGAGATGTCCTACTGAAACAATACATCTCTGAGGTTCTCAGTTGAAAGTTGTCGGTGAAATGGGATAGACCTGAGAAGCGGTGGAAGAGAGGGAACAGAATGGGAGCCTCCTGTAGAGGCTCCTCTGAAAGGCTCCGCCCAGCAGGGGATCGAAGCAGATGCTGAGACTCACAGCCAAACTTTGGTCAGAGTGCAGGCAGCCTTATGGAAGAAGGGGGGGATAGAAGGACATGGAGGGCCCAGGAGCCCCACAAGGAGACCAGCAGAGCTAAAACATCTGAGTCCAGGGGGTCCTGCAGAGACTGAGGCACCAACCAAGGACCATGCATGGAGAGGACCTAGACCGCCTCCTCTGATGGCGCCCATTGGCAGCTCAGTCTCCATGTGGGTACCTGAGTAAGGGGAACAGGTGCTGCCTCTGTCATGGACTCGGTTGCCTGCTCTTTGATCATGCTCCCCTGGTGATGCGGCCTCGCCAGACTACAGAGGAAGAGGATCCAGGCAGTCCTGATGAGGCTTGATAAGCTATGGGCAGACGGTAGAGAAGGAGAACTCCCCCTTTCAGTGGACTAGGGGAAGGGGATGGGGGGAAGATGGAGGGAGGGTGGGGCTGGGAGGAGTTGAGGGAGGGGGCTTCAATTGGGATATATAATAAATTGTAAAAAAAAAAAAAGGTTGCCAGTGGTACAATGAGGAAGAACGATATGAAGCGAATTCCCATAGCCGATCAAAAAGGGCTACCTGCCTGTCGCTGTTAGTTTCCTCAGAAGCCTCAGGACGCAGGGTTCTTACACACTTGCATGGGAATAAGTCATCCAGGGAACTAGAATCCTAGCTGCTGCCACCAAGAGGAGTCAGTTTAGGCTAGGAGTGGGCCCCCAAAATCTGCACTTTAATTGCACCTCGGATGACTGCCTCAGGTGTCTGGATGACCGAGGGGCCCCGCTAGGCCAAGCAGCAGTTTCCTCTGGTGCGTCTGGCATTCTTTGATGTTTTATGCTTCCAGCCACGTGTGTGTGTTCTAAGTACAATGTGACTGAGCATGAAGAGCCAGAAGAGAGCTCTGTGTCGAGATGCTCAGGGGGAGAGTGGAGGGTGAAGTTAGAGCATGAGCATTCTGGGAATTTCGTCAGCTGCCTTCAGTCATGAGCCATTGAACGCTCCTTGTGATAGCTTCATCCTGTGACAGTGTTCTTCCAGGAAAGCACTGGACAGGGGGCGTAGTTCTGGCCTGACTCCTAGGGCTCCCTTGACGGCCCTGTAGTACCACTCAGCCTGCTGGTTCTGCACATTCTGGCTGCGCAGCCTCGGGCATTTTGAAGCCTAAAATCAGCTGTATTGTCCCTGAACTGTCCCTCGCTCAGAGGATGGCTGTGCTGACAGATGAATGCACGCATCGGATTGGGGGTGGCACAGTGGCTGGCACAAAATAGTGGTGTTCAGAGGAGGTCCCAGTGCCTGGACCATGCCAGTTCGTAGCTCTGTGTGTGGATTGGCCTACATGATCAGGACAGAGCTTCCCTCCGGCACGCCATCCTCCAGGTCTCTCCATCCCATCCGGAGTTGGATGGGGCAAGCTTAAGGACTCAACAACCTTGAGATGGCGGTCGGTGGTACTGGCAAAACTCCCTCCTCTGGTTCTGCTGCAGCCACTCAGTCTGGTACAAGTCAACCAGCTCTGAAGAGCATTTCTTGGCAAGTTGACAGTCACAGACAGTGTCCGGTCCTAAGGGCTGATCATGGTGGAGATGGGTATCAGGCAGATGCCAGCTCGCTGGCACTGCCATGCAGGAACACAAGCCAAGCTCTGCTCCTGGGGCCTTTGCAGCAGCTGTAATGCTTCCCAGGTCCCTCTGGACACGGAACACAAGCACCTGGCTCATAGCTTCAGATCAGATCCTGATGCTCAGGACCAGATACATGCTTAAGTGACAGCATTACTGTGCATTAGGTCCAGCTCAGACTCCTCTCTGAGTTTGGGGGCCGGGATGGCCTCAGGCTAAAACCGTGACTGTCTCATGGTAGCTCTGGGTGTCAAGTTGCTGGCCCTCTGAGTTTATTCTGTCCTCTGTGAAGCAGAGATAATAAGTGGTGTCTAGGCTGCAAAGTTATGAGAACTAGCATACTGGCTAGTACAGCCAATGGCTCATAGTCAGTGTTGGTTTCTACTTCCCTTTTCTGCATTGAGTTGGAGAAAGGCTTTCAATGAGCCTTGTTGAGAAGAAAAGGTTATTATTCTACTTTAGGAAATACACTGTTCACATGAAGGTCAGAGGCCAGGGCAGCCCTTATGCTTGGGACTTGGGTGTTCACACTTACAGGCTACTAAACTAGGCCCTGTCCTTGGAGGTTGGAGCTGGTTGGGCACCCCGTGAGAAGAATGACAAACTATTTGGAGACTGGAAGATGCTTTCCTGGACCACAGGAAGGGAGAAATTGGTTGCTGTCTCACTGAAGTCTGGGACAAATCTGAGCTGTGCTGGGCATGTCTCTCTCTTGGTCCAGGGCCGCAGGGATTGGCATCCTGATTGTAGTCCTGGGAATTTCTCTGCTTCTCGGCTGCTGGTATTGTAGAAGGCGAAGTGGATACCGAAGCTTGATGGTAGGTACCGGTCCCCTGAACTTCTGGGGATGCCCTCGCGTGTGTGTGCGTGTGTCTGCACATGCCCTGGTCTGGTTATGGAGACTACAGGACATCCTTTTGGAGTTGGTTTTCTCCTTCCAGCTTGTGGGGGCTTGGGATCAAATTCAGTTCATCAGTCTGGGCAGCAAACGCTCTTCCCTGCCAAGCTGTGTTCCCGCCAAGTTCCAGGTTCTTCTAATTCTGTCATACTCAGCAGCCCGTGATGTTGAAGGTCTTACTGATGACGATCACGCAGCATGAGAAAACCATCTTCCCCACAGCATATGGCACACCGCTGAATATTCTCCCCTCATCCATCTCTCTGTTGGTCCTCTAAGGCGCATGTCATGAACGTTGTTAGGAAGGGAGCCTTCAAAACCTGAGCATTTTACGGAGGTTCCAAAACAAAGGGCGAGCATTTTGAGGTCAGCAAGACACAGCAAGGTAGGAAAACTTAAATGTGATCTCAAAAGAAAACCAAGTACTACGTAATATAAAAAACAAACTTCTAAAAATAAAAGCCAGTGGGTGGGAGGGATGGCTCAGCAGTTAACTGCACTGGCTGCTCTTCCGGAGGATACAGGTTCAGTTCCCAGCACTCACAGCCTTCTGTGACTGAAGTCCCAGGGGATCTGTCAACCTCTTCTGGCCTCCACAGGCCCCAGGAACACACATGGTGCAGACATACATTTTGGCAAGACACCATAGACATTAAAACAAATAAACAAACAAACAAACAAACAAACTTAAAGTCACTAGCAAGGCATGATGGCACCTACTATCCCAGCACTCAGGAAGGCTGAGACAGGAGCGTAGCCACAATAGGCTACTAGGAAGAACATGTTTGTTTGTTTGTTTTAAAAGCATCTGGGCATGGTGGCACACACCTGTAATCTCAGCACTAGGGGAGGCAGAGGCAGGTGGATCTCTGGGAGTTCAAGGCCAGCCTGGTGTACAAATGAGTCCAGGACAGCTAAGGTCACACAGAAAAACACTGTCTCAGAAACAACAACAACAACAACAAGCACCCCTCCAAATTCCCAAACAGGCTTTCAACCACCTCATTTCAAAATTAGATTGCCATAGAATCAATAAAATATACTGTCATAGGAACAGCAAAAATATACTTAAAAACAGCACTGAGTTCAGGAGGGTGAAATATGGTGAAGTGGACCAAACCTTTTGGGAGTGTGAACCCACACTCCCCAAGACTGCAGAAAACCTTTGCTTTGAGCCCAGGTTGCCTCCTTGGCATGCTCATGGTCCCAGCTCCCAAGCCCGGGTCATACTCTCACTTATTAAGTGCCTTCTGTCTACCCGTCCAGCTGAAAAGTTTTTGCCAGGAAACCGGGCGGTGGCTTTGTCTCCTCTCTTTCCCCAATTGCTCTTTTTAGCTGAGGGAGGGTTCAGGACATAAGCCAAAGAGGCGAGGCACACTGGACCCACACACCAAGCAGAGGCCTCTAGACAGAGTTAGCACTGAAGTGTGAACAAGACTGCAGACAAACTTCGGGAAAGCCCGAGATTGCATTAAGCCTAGAAACCCTGCCTGTAGGACACACACCACTGTGCATGTTGAGTGTGTGTGGGGGTTTACTTTCTGCCGCCTGACTCCATCCGTGCGCCCTGGCATGGAGTGATCACACTCCCTGCAACTGGTTACTTACTATTTGGTCATCTCACTCATCTTCCCCTTTAGAAAAACAGGCTCGTAAAAGTCACTTGGCTCAGTGGTGGTGGCACACACCTTTAATCTCAGCACTTGGGAGGCAGAGGTGGATGTCTGCGAGTTCGAGGCCAGCCTGGTGTACAGAGCAAGTTCCAGGATGTCCAGGGCTACACAAAAATAAAATAAAAGCCACTCGGTTGTAGGGCATCAGGATTTGGCTTCAATGTCCATCACTGCCTTGCTTTATTTTTGTTTTTGCTTTAAGTTTTCCAAACCTCACAGGCCCTATTCTACACTTAGTCATGGCAAAATATGACAAAACCCAATGCTTATTAGTTTTTACTTATCATGTCTTCATCTTTTATTTTTAATCTTAAATTGTACATAAGTATGTGTGTCTGTGCACAAGAGGGCCTGTGTCCACAGAGGCCAGAAGCAGGTCTCCCTGGGGTTGGAGCTACAGTTAGTTGTGTGACGCCAAATGCAGGAACAGGGACTTGAACTTAGAGCCTCCATAAGAGTAGTCAATGCTCCCAACTGCAGAGCCATCTCTCCAGCCCTGTTCTTCAATTAAAAAAAAAAAAAAAAGTTCAGCCAGGCAGTGGTGTATGCCTATAGTCCCAGCATTCTGGGATGCTGAGGCAGGTAGATCTCTCAGTTCAAGACAATCCTGGTCTACAAACTGAGTCCAGGGCAGCCAAGGTACCCATTTGCAACTACTGGATTGGTGGGACAAAATCCCAAGACAGTGATTTCTCTTCCCTTAAATTCTTCAAGTTTAAGAATACAAACAGCAGCCAGGTGTGGTGGAGCACATCAGCAGTCCCAGCAATCAAGGCAGCAGAGGCAAGCGGGTCTCTGTGAGTTTGAGGCCAGCCTGGTCTACAAAACAAGAGAAACCCTGTCTTGAAAAAACTAAAACAAAACAACAACAAAATCGAAGAGCATGGCTATGAATATATTGATTGATAAGATTCAAGCTTAACCTAGGCTACCATTCTTCTAACACAAATCAGTGATTCAGAGTTTCTGTTTTGTTTTTTATAAGATAGAAATATATTCTGTCCCTTAGCCCTCCAGCACAAAAAGCAAAGGCTCCATCACACTTTGTGGATGGATGTGTGGGCGATGGAAGGCACACGATAGCCATGACATCTATGTGGAGGTCAGAGAACAATTTCTGGGAGTCAGCTTTTGTCCTCCACTTTGTTGAGACAGGTTTTCTCTCGTTCTTGCCTGAGCTCTGCATGTTTCAGCCTACTTGGCCAGTGAGCTTTTGGTTGGCCTCCCTCTGCTATCTCACTGTAAGAGTGCCGGGCTGCAGATGCTCACAGCCATGTCTGGTCTTTTGTACGAATTCCAGATATTAGACTAGAATTTTTACCGGCTGGCCATCTTTTCAGGCCGCATGTTTATTTGAATTTATACTAAAATCTTGCTTTGTGACTCTCAGATATCTCCTAAAATCTAGCTGGCATTTTCCAGTCTAAGAACTTTAGGCAAGCGCGTTTTAATTATGTGACATAGTTCAGCCAGTATTATTTTTTAGCTTGCTTTCTATTGTGATAAAATACTAAAACCAGCTTGAGGGGCTGGACAGATGGCTCCGTGGTTAGAAGCCCTGACTGTTCTTCCAGAGGACACAATTCAATTCCCAGCACCCACATGGCCATCTGCTACTCCAGTAATAGGGAATCTAACACCGTCACATAGACATACATGCAGGCAAAACACCAATACATATAAAATAAAAATGAATAAATCTTAAAAAAAAAAAAAAAAAAGAAACCAACCTGAGAAGGGTCTACGGGGCTTAGAAATTGGTTTCTTTCTTCTTTTCTTTGTTATTTTTTTGAAGGATTTCTTATTCTGTAGCCCAGGCTAGCCTCAAACTTTTGCTTTGGCCTTCCCAGTGTTGGAATTAGAGACAGGCATAGCATCCCTCCTAGTTTCTCCTTTTTTATTTTTGTTGGGAATTGAACTCATGATCTTTGGAAGAGCAGCCAGTGCTCTTAACCTCTGAGCCATCTCTCCAGCCCTAAAACAATGGAACACACAGGTGAGTCACCAAGTACAGTTCTTTTAAAAATATATATATATATTTATTATGTATACAATGTTCTGTCTGCATGCATACCTGCATGCCAGAGGAGGGCACTAGGTCTCATTGTAGATGGTTGTGAGCCACCATGTGGCTGCTGGGAATTGAACTCCGGACCTACAGAAGAACAGCCAGTGCTCTTAGCCTCCAGCCCATCTCCTTTGTTATTTAAAAAAAAAAACTTTAATGTGCAATTTAGATGTGTATGAGTGTTTGCCTGCATGTATGAGTGCACCGCATGCATGCAGATGCCTGGGACCCCTGGAGCTGGAGTGACAGACGGTAGTGAGCCATGATGGCGGTGCTGGAATAGAATCAGGGTCCTTTGCAAGAGCAGCAAATGCTCTTAACCACCGAGCCGTCTCTCTAGACCATCTCCTTATTTTTGGAGGATAATTTCACAAACTGTTCATTTTTGTAGAGTCAGACTCCTCTTCCCAGCTCTCCAGTTAGTGACAGCGTGGTGCCAGGCACTGCCTCTGTGTTTTTTCTTTAGTTAATTCTGACAACTCTGAGAAGTGGGTTGTATCATCTTGTTACTACAGACCTAGGAATTTGCAGAGATAAAGGGAGTAGCCTGAGGATGCACAGGAAGTACGTGGCAGCAGCTGGTTTAAAGCCCATTTTAAGAACATTGTTTCCTTTTTATTTCCTCTAATGCAATCAGTTATTATTATTATTTTTACCATTCATTCTTATGATTTTCTATTTCAGGACAAAAAGCTTCATGCTGGAACTAAAAGTACCTTGATGGAAAGATGCCCGAGTGAACAATGCTCATGTGAGGGTCTTGGTCACCAGGACAGCCCACTACCTTCTCAGGAAAAGAATCATCAGCCTGTGGTAGGTAGAGATTGTATATCTGGGTATTTTCATCAAGTGAACAAAGTGATTTCTGTTTAAAAAGTAATGTGAATACACTTACTGCCACTAAACTGTTAACTGACCAGCGATTAGGACTAGGATCAATGGGAGAGTACTTGCCTAGTTTGCATGAGCCCTAGACGCAATCTGTTTCTCCCCCATAAAGGTCAACATGGTAACTTTTGCTTTGTATGTTTTATAAAAACAGACACACAAGCAACCATGGAGAATAGGGTTTCTTAAGTCGTATCTTCTTGGAATTAGAGTTTACAGTCAACAGTAAGAGCTCCACACGTAAGAGCCACAGGAAAATATCCTCCTATAGAGCTGAACCAGCACCACGCGTTAAAACCCTTGGAACACAGCAGTTTGAAAGAAGTTTGTGACACGTATTTCAGAGACAGATTATGAAAATAGAGCCATTACTGACTTTTTTTTTAATCGACTGCATGTTGAAATGATTATACTGAGGCCCAAGTTAAATATTTTATCTAATGTGCCAGCTCTCTAAAGGGGAAGCTACCTGGCGTTTAAGTTCTGCACGTGACTCGCATGCATTTCTGCTGTACAGTACTAGTGCACAGTAAGCCTAGCAAAAGCAATGATTCTGGCGTCAGACGGACCTGTTTGATTCTTAGCTCTATCCTCTGTGGTTTAGTTTCCCCCTAGACAGCACCTCCTTGAACTGTTGTGGGCATTAACCGAAAGGCTGACGCATCTGTGCTCAGTGGGTAGATGAATGTGTCTTCCCAACCTCCCGGTTGTTGTCTTTGAATGATGTCTCTCCCTGAGCTGCCCCTCCCCCAGCCCTAAATGTGCCTGTAGACACAACTAGCAGGGTCTATGTGGTGGAGATGAAGTGTTTTGAGTGACACATGGAATTCAAGAATTCAGGGATGGGTGAGTTGCCCCAATGGGCCACTTGCTGTCAAACCTGTCAACTTTTGAGTTTGGTTCCTGGGGCCAACCTGGTAAAAGGAGAGAACCAATTCCCCAAATTGTCCTCTGACATCCACACAGGTGTTGGGGCACAGGTGCTGCAGCCATAAACAAACTAAGTAAATAAATACATGAAAAAAAAAACAATTCTTTCTGAATTATTTCTGAAATAATTGTAAAGAAATAAAAACCAATTCTAACATGAACAGCCCATACGTATTTGTGAAATTTAACAACTCCTCCACTGGGCAAAGAAAATATGTATGAACATTTAGAAGCTCCAGCCCACAGCAAAGGTATGAACATGATGCAAACAGGTTTGCCTCAACCCCTCCTCTGAATGTGGACACCGCTGCCACGCTCACTCTCTCCCTTCCTCATCCTCACAGGTTCCCAACGCTCCACCTGCCTACGAGACGCTCTCTTCAAACCAGTCGCCACCACCATACTCACCCTGAGAGCCAGCAAACTGCTAAGAGTGCTGAGCTGACTCCCCTCATGCTTTTGTCGTAGGCTGAGTGGACGCCGTGTGCTGCTTTATTTAGAATGCTGCTTCATGTTCAACTCTACTGAGAGGCCAGGGTTAGACTCTTGATAGGGCAACCAGAGAAACAGTGAGCAACGATGAGAAATACTAACCTGGGAAAAGCTTCAATAAACATTTAAATGCATACTATCTGTCCCAGCAGTAATGCTATTAAACCATTAATGATAATAATAGTAATAATTATTATTATTTTGAGGGGTAGAGTCACATGGATGGTCTGGCAGCATCTAATTTCTTTGTGAAGAAAAATTATTTTTTTTAATTTTTATGTGTGTACCTTTATGCATGTGTGTTTTCACGACACTGCCTATTGAAGCCAGAAGCTGTTGGATTCCTTGGAGCTGGGGTTACAGGTGGCTCTGAGCTGCCTGACATGGGTGCAGGGAACTCAGCTTGAGTCCTCTGCAAGCGCAGTGAGCAATGTTTAACAGCTCAGCCACCTCTTCTGACTTTCAGCTGATTCCTTGAATGAGATGCAGCTAATTACAAATTAGCTACTTACAAATTACTTACAAATTACTACTCAGCTCTTCAAAGCAACCCACTGGCCAGTGTAGCTGTGCAGAGTTGCGGCAGATGTTATGCAATGCTCAGAAAGGATCCCATTACAGGTTTAAAAACAAAAACTTATTTCTCTGAGCTGTGAAGCAGGGAGCTCTGTGGTTTAAAATGATCCTCCAATAATACACTGTAAAGAGTCTCTTTCTCCTCCTTCTCCCCCACCCCTCTCTGTGTGGTGTATGTATGTATTTGTGAGACAGGATCTCTCATTGAACCTGGAGCTCATTGATTTGGCTGATGGCCAGGGAACCTCCGGCACCACCTGACTTCACTGCTCAGTTCTGGAGCTAAGAGACATGTGCTGCCACACCTTGCCTCTATGTGGTTCTGGGTTCCACACTCTCAAACTTGTGTGGCAGGCACTTTGCAGACTAAGTCACCTTCTCAGAAGCAAACTAACAAATATATGTATGTGTTAAACTATAAAGTTTAGTTTTTGAGAATTTTATACATGAATACTGTTTACATCAGTTCCATCCCTTTTCCTTTCCTATCCAGGTTCTCCCATGTCCCCACCTGTTTTTCTCAAATTCTATATGTATATATGTGTTTGTGCATATGTACATAAAACCTACTGAGTCCACGTAGTATCGCTAAGAGTCTCTATCTTGAACCATACCTATTATGTAGTCCTAATTATATTTTACTTCAACACTCATAATGAATGGTAAGTTAATTTTCTGTTAGGCCTGAAAGTGGTTTAAGAATTTTAAAAAGTAAAAGCAATTTTAGTTTGGTTGATATCTGTGTATTAAGTGTCCTCATGACAATGAAAACAGGGCCCATCATTTCTGCACATACTCCACGCTAGCTGGCCTGAAAGCTTCCAGCCAGGTCTGTGGAAGTGCTGGGGTCCCAGACATCCACGCACTACCACACCTGACATTTTAGGTCTGCAGGGAGCCTTCAGCCTTTGCATAGCAAACACCTCTGCCCACTGAACCATCCCCCTCATCCCTATTTAGTTTTTAATTTTCAAACTTTCAGAAGAACATACAGAAGAAATTACAAAGGACCAGACCAAAGATTCTCCAGTGGGTATTACTGTTTACATCGTGTGATTTTTTTTTTCTTTTTCTTTTCTTTTTTCTTTTTGGCTTTTCAGAGACACAATTTCTCTGTGTAGCCTCGGCTGTCCTGGAACTCACTCTGCAGATAAGGCTGGCCTCAAATTCAGACATCTGCCTGCCTCTGCTTCCCAAGGGCTGGGATTAAAGGCCTGTGCTACCACAGCCCAGTGTGCAATTTCTTTCATATCCATGTATCAATTATCTTACATTTTTTGGTCACCTGATTATTACTGAGACAAGCCGTCATGTAGCTTGTGACCAGGCTGTTACTCCCGCCTCCACCTCCCATGTGCTAGGACTACAGGTTGTTTGTGCAGTACTGGGGCTTGAACCTTGGGCTTCATGCATGCTAGGCAAGCACCCTACCACCTGATCTGCATCCCTACCCTCTTATGAAAGAGAATCTGGATACATCCCCATGATCACCTTTTAGAGCAGAGACCCTCTAGCTGTCTTCTCCTCCCTCTGCCGGAAGTCAGGCTACCTGCACCCCATGTGTCCCTGACTGCTGACTGCACTCAGGCCTCAGAAGGGAAGCAAGTCCAGCTCCTCCCCCTTGCAACTACAAAGCAAACTTACAGTCCTACCACGCGCCTTTGTCCCTCAGCACTTATCCTGCTCTGGCCAAGTCACATGGCGCAGAACCTCCTACAACCTCCCCAAACTCAGAAACCCCCTTTTTCTTGAGGATTTCAGGGCTCCTCCCGTCAGGTCCCTGTCATGCTGTACATGGCAGCTTTCTCCCTACCACTGAAGCTCCTCTTGGGATCTGAAAGCCTGCTTGCATCTTGTGCTGGACAGTTTATATCAGCTTGGCATACACTAAAGTCATGTAAGAGGAGGGAACATCAACAACATCAACTGAGAAAATGCCTCCATAGGCTGACCTCTGTGAGTTCAAGGCCAGCCTGGTTTACAGAGGAAGTTCCAGGACCTCCAGGGCTATAGAGAAACTCTGTCTTGAAGAAAACAAAACAAAACAAAAACCAAAAAAAGATCAAGCTGTAGGAAGCCCATAGGGAAGGATCAGCTCATTGTGGGTGGGATCACCTCTGGGCTGCTGGCCCCGCTCTTAATAGGAATTCACGCTGAGCAAACCTGTAAGCAGCAGCCCTCCATGGTCTGTGCACCAGCTGCTGCCCTAAGTTCCTGTTCATCAGGGCTACAATGTAAAAGTGTAAGCCAGAGTGTACAGTGAGCCTTTCCTCTCCACTGTGCCCCTCACAGCAGTAGAGCCCTCACTAGGACCCCACCCCCAACTCCCCACTCCTGCTGCCAACCACACAATCAGGGCTCCCTCTCCTAACAGCCTCTGAAGGGTAACTGTGTCAGTTCCTTTCCATCAAACTGATGCTCTCAACACTTAAAACACCCTAAATGCAAACTGGTACCTCTTTCCTAAGTAGAGCTATAAAATGAAAATAATAATAAAAACATGTCATTGTAAAGAGCCATGAGCCATGAGCCTTGCTTTCTGTTAAGAGACATTACTAAGAACCACAGATAACTCAAGGCTATTTACAGAAATCTATTTCACTACTCGATTATTTATTTACGGTGGAGTCAACAAATCACTTAATATAAGCATAATATTAACAGGACCATTTCTACCAGACTAGATTAAAGGAATAAATACAACAAAAAACAACATTCAATGAGATGAGGGACCCACGGCTTGATCCTTAGGCCTCTCCAAGCCTCCCACACTGTCAGACAGTGACAAATCCCTTTTCCGTGTGGACAGCGTCTCCTTAGTGTCCCCCCAACAGTGTCACAGTGATAAATAGGCTTGGGCTGAGTCACCAGAGAGAAATTAAAATGCTTGCTGAAAGGAATAGGAGGTACAAAATGTAGCATCCACACCTTGGATACCCATTCAAGTGCAGGTTACCTCAGGAGCCCTGTGCCATGTGGTGCTAGGAGCCTGTGTCGTGACAACTAAAGGAGTCTACTCCATCTAGATGCTCACATTGAATCAGGGACAGAAAACCCATGAATGTTAGGGCACTGGCATCCTGTCACTGAAGACCAGTACCATTAGCCCTGAGGTTGAGGCTTAGAATTCAGTGCTTCAAGGCCTGGACTACAAAAACAAGGCTCATGGAGGGGAGATCCTTATAGACATTGTAGGTACAATTGGCTTACTTACTGATGAAGAAAAACCTAGGAGATCAAGTCCACTGGTAAGCACAGGGCTCCAAGCCTCCACTGCAGTGTGCCCACTTATGGGCAGGGAAGGGTGCAGAGCATGGTGCTGCTTTGGCCTCTTGTTTCCTGAGAGCGTGGAGGGGACTAGAGTAGTCAGAACTCACGACTAGTTTCCTCTGACCAGAAGCAGACTTTTCCCATTAGCCAAATATACCGGACAAGTAACACCACCTTCACTCTGATAGCAACACCTTTCCTCTCTCCTCCAGTCCTAACATTGTTGTCTGCTTGAACCTGAGGCTCAGTACTCTACAGACTTCCCTTGGAGATTCTGATATGGACATTGTGATTATTGCTATGGTAAAGAACAGGCATACTTATTTAAGAAAGGAAAAAGTAAACTGTAGCTCCTTCTCCTTCCTGGGGTCCTTGGCCACCGGTTGGTCCTCAGAACAAGGGAGTAGAGGCAATGACTGGTGATTCAGATGGCCCTCAAGTACACAGAATGACCTCTGGGAACCACTTCAGTAAGATAGCTCAACTTTATTTGGGATAAACAAAGGCTACAGTCCTTGGGGAGTGGGTAGGTGGGTGGCTCCCAGGATTGGGGTACATAATTGGTTAAGGCTAGGGATTCCAGGGATGCGTTAATTTGCATTCGACAGCATGGTCCTATCATATGAATGAATGGGAACACAGTACTTATACATTATAGGATAATTGGGGAGGTGCTAGAAGGGAACTGTGCTAAAGGTCATATACCAACCAGGCACGGTGGTGTGCGGTGGTGCATGCCTGGTTGGTATACGACAGTGCAGAGACAGGCAAATCTCTGAGTTGGAGGCCAGCCTGGTCTACAAAGTGAGTCCAGGACAGAAAGGTATCACAGAGAAACCCTGACTCAAAAAACAAACAAAAACAAAAACAAAAAAAAAACAAAAAAAAAAAAAAAAAAAAAAAAAAAAAAAAAAAAAAAAAAAAAAGAGGAAAAGAAGACAAAACGGTCATATACCAGAAATGGTTAGAGGCATCTATATCTATGCCTAGCTCAGAAAGGCTAGCCTCTCCTGGAGGACTGCAACCTCAAACAGCAGGGTCCTACAACAGTAAACATCTGGAGAGGCCCACTTCACTTGAAGAT